CAACCCAGTCGGGTTGGGAAATTGTTGAACCAAAGCCAAGTTGAAATACTAAAAATCGGGTTGGCTAATTTCATTAGTTTGATTCGGAATGGCAATGAGGTGGGGTGCAGACGAGGAGCCTCTCCCCATCCCAATCTCCATGAAAATCCACATCCATATCCCCGTCCCCATCCCCGCTAACAAGGATTAAGTTATTCCCATCCCTGCAAGGATCCCCACTCTCTGTGATTCTTTATAATATCAACCATTAAGATTTTTTGTTATTTTATTTAAAAAAAATAAAAATTTACAATCCTATTAGAAAATATTCAACCATATTTTTAAAAAATATTAACATATAGGCGTATGTGTACATATATACATATATAAGCGTATGCATATATTTGTGTGTGTATTAGTGGGGATCAGGGTCCACGCAGGGCAAGAAGTGTTCTCCCCGTCCCCGCCAATGGGAATGAAAATTTCTCTATCTCTGTTTCCATGGGGGGGAAATCATCCACATCCCTGCCCCATTTTGAGCAGATCCCCACGGGGATCGAAGAAATGGAAAAAATTACCATCCYTAAATTTGATAAACAATCGTATCTAAAATTAATTATTATTATTTTTATATTATAAAAAAAATTATTAAAAATAATATATAAAATATAAATAATTATTAATTATTATATAAAATAATTATATACTCTTACATATTTCTATTTCTAATATATCATAAACTAGAAGATGGGGATTCACAATTAATATGTCATCATCTAAATACCCTATTATTTAAATTATTAGCTCGCTTGAAATTTCTTTCGATTTGACCACTTAATAAAATATGTGCAATAATTACTGAAAGATCTTAAACAAAAGGAGGGATGTGGCTGTTTTCTGTCCAGGTGATCTCCTACCCAATAACTCTCCATGCTTCCTATCATATACGCTGCGTTTGGATTATTCAAATATTGCACATGTGATTAGTGATGAGCGATTATTCTATAGGTCTTATAACCTAATAGTTTGGGTATTTCCTAGTAACTAGAGAATTATATTAGAATTGGTTCAAATTAGTTAGGTTTAATTCATTAAAATATTATAAGGTAATCCCCAGTATTAAAGAAAATATAGTAAGAGTATCGGTTGTCATCATATCGGTGCAGCCGCAGGTGGTGGAGGCCGGGGGCTTTCATCAACCTAAAGCYTGCCAAGTGAGTGTGGGTGTACGTGTAATTTGGCACATCGCTATTAGGTTGAGTGGCCAACTGAAGATATCCTAAGCTACCACTTTGTGTTTGACACAACACAGCTTCTCCACCTAACCGAACGCTTACAGAAATAAAATCACTTCAAATACTAATGGACGGTGGACCCCCACAAATCAGTTCAATTGCAGAAGAAACGCGGATCAATCATTCAGAATGCGGGTCAAATGCAATCCATGGAATCCAAAATTATGACGGCCGGCCCCCACCTTGTGCACACTTGGCCAAATCTGTTTGAACCGTTCATTAATCTCTCTATTGTTTTCAAATTTAATACGGGTTGGCCGCAACTATTGGTTTTCTTCTCTTTGACTATGGACCAAGACAAAGTAGAGAAGTGGTGACAACATACATCTAACTTTGTCTTTTATTCTATATTTTCCTACATCTCACCTCACCATGTGAAACTGTACCAGATCTAGTTGTATTAACTTATGCATCATTCTTCTGAAAAAGTTGTAAAAAGGGTCGGGGGCTCGGGGATTCTTTTTTTTCTTCTTTCTTTCTTTCTACTAATATTGTTAAATGCATCACCATAGTTATTACAACAAACAATCCACGTGGCAACTTGATTTTGGTGTAAAGCCTATCTGCTATGTAGAGGTGGATAACTTGAAATACTCCCACTTAAGCAGCCACTCGCCTACCACATTTAAGATTATTTATAGGACTTCCCTCGTGCTTCACCCTTTGCCCGCTGCTAGCTAGGGTTGGTTCTTTGGTGCCACTTGTAAGATTCCTAGAATTAGTTCTTAACCAATTAACCCACCTACATCACACCCGGCTGCAGGGCTCTCTCCCTAACTATGGTAAGGAAAAAAATAAAAATAAAAATAGAAAGCCCTGAAGCTGAAGAATCCCATGAAGAAGGACAAAATTGTTGGTCCATTCTCCATTCTCTAGAGGACGAGTTTGCTTTTGCAGTTTGCTAGTTGCTACCCCGGCCTACTTGGTAGCAAAAGTGAATTGGATCACTGTGGTCCATGTGCTTCACCATCTCTTTACTCAGTTTCTGTTTGTACTGTTAAATGCACTTCCCAAACGTGAACCGATCCTTCAGGTGGGTCGTGATGATGTTTATATAAAGAAAATGGGGGCCGGAGACAAGTTATATATGGAGCCTATCCTATATATGCCCCCTATACCCTACACTAGGTTTGGATTTCTATGGCGAGAATATTTCTAGGAGATATGCCAAAGAAGTCCTGATTACAAAGGATTATTGCGTGTGTGTCATGTGTTATCATAGTAACATCAAGTTTAAGGACTAGTTAATTTGTTAGGGTTATGCTTTTTTGGCTGTTTTTAATAATGCAAAGTTGGTTAAAAAAGTATTAGAGATGTAAAATTCTGAGGAGAGAGAAATTGATGGTGCCCAACCAAAATGTTTTGAATCGTGAAGAATGGTTTAAAATTGAGAGAGAGAATAAACCAGTTAAGGTCTTACTTAAACCATTGTCCTTCTTTGGGCTTCTGATGATCCATTTTCTTGTTGTGGGCTCTTCATGGGGATATACAACATTTGAAGCAAAGAAACCTCCAAATACACTAATTAATTATCCCCTAGCTACGTACTATGCATGTAGCAGTCAGTCATTGTAAGCTATGAAGGAGTCTTTAATATTGATGTTGGGGTGATTTCAGGGAGCATGTGAAAGGCAAGTTCCCGACTCCAGTATAGGCTTAGCTTTTAGCTAGCTAATTCATGTAAGCTTTCAATTAAGGCTCAAACTACATACAGGCTTTTTTGCCACTTGATAGCTTGAACTTGTTTACAAGGGCTCGCTGTTAGTTGATACCCAAGTACACCATTTCTTAATTATTGCACTTGTGCACCGCGGAGGCGGAGTGAGACCAGATAAGCTGCATCTGCACTTCTGCACTGCACATGATGAATGTACTGTTAGCAACGCGGCCCCACATCAGCCATGCATACGATTGCGATTTGCGGAGTGAGAGAATTGGAGTTATAGGGGGGGATGGCCGATCGACGTGGGTCGTTATTATTGGCTAAACAGCCCCCCTAACAGGCTAACACAGACACAGCCATCAAGCTAGCACAGTACATGGGGGAACCCCCATGGCCCATGGGGCTGCGCTTCCTGTATCCTGTTCCTGGGGCGCAACGGGAAGCGATAGCCGAGAGGTTTTAGGTAATATGAAATTAATTGGTCAAATTCCGTCGGGCCTAATTAATTTGCCTTCGCCTAAGCTGCCTAAGACGAGTCAAAGTCGTGCTTAAAACGGGAACACGTACACAAACGTCGGGAGGAGGCTGCCTGAAAAGAGTGTTAATATGTCTAACTGGGCGGAGGGCTTACTCGTGTGTATCAGAGACTATTAATTTAGCTCAAAGTCACAAACATCAAATCAAATGTATGTTGGCGTGGCTCATCTCTCCTTAGTTAGAACTTAGAACTTAGCGGTGGTGGCAYGGCAAACAAGGGAAATTCAAAAGTTATTGATTTACGCGGACACCGTTGAATTGGGAGCGTGGGTCACTCAACTCGTAACTGAGAGTTCAATTTTGGGTGGAATTAAACAAGCAATTTCTATGGTACCTGAAAAAGAAAAGAGCAAAAGTTTAGTAACTTAACCAATAACCGGAAACCCACGTGAAAATCAGAAAAGCGAGCATCAGTTATTGGTTACATCGCTTTTGGATCCTGTTGACGATCTAAATCTAACTGTATCGTAATGTGCACATAATGTGGTAATTTTTTATTGGTAACTGTAACTCTCTCTGGCCTGCCTAACAACACTAAAACTTAGAATCGTCAATAGTATTCTAATACAAATTAAGGTGTTCGACATAATAAGGCCGGGGGCAATGTATGGTATCTCACCATTGCGCACTGCCTCTGCCTGCCTTGTTAGTCTTACTACTTCCCTTGCAAATTGGGAGTGGAGAGGGAGACAGAGAGTCAGCCATCTCTCTCTCTGCATCTCCAGCTTTACCCTTAAAGGCTAAAGTTACCAAAGGCAAAGAACACCCCTAATGGTTTTGGCGTTTTGGGGGTTTGAAGTTACATCAACCACGCCCTTTTCTGATTGAGAGTTTTCAACCGTTAATTTGTGACGTCTGTACGGTACGCAGGCCTGCTTCACTAGATAAGTAGATAGCAACTCCTGCCACCATTTTGCATCCTTAAATGCAGCCACTGTATCCTTTTAGGCCTTTGTTACCATCACCGGTTTCAAACTTTTCAACAACCATGGAGATGGGGGAGAAGACTAATAAAAGAGTGTATGTGTGTGAGAGAGAGTGAGAGTGTGTGTGTGTGCCGCGTGCAACAAACTTTCAATTCAAGGGCGTGGGAGAAAGGTAGCTTGGAAACAAAAACAATAATTAATTAGGAAGGGCAGCTGAATGTGACTATTAATGATAATATTAAATAAGTTGCAAATGCAAATATCATAATGATCAAACTAGATATCAACACTTATTACACAAATCAATCAAAAAATTAATTTTTTTTAATAGTAAAGTTGTTCCTCATGACATGGTCCCCCCCCCCCCATCACATATTCACATGCTACCAAAACCCTTTCCCCATTTTTTTATTCTTCATTTAATTTTAAACATGTTTATGGGCCCTAGTACTACCCATGGGCTTCTAATATTCAAAATTTAACTATCAAAAAAAATTGGAGAACCCAACTATAAAAAAAAATCACCCCTCCACTCTCTCAGCCAAGAGAAAACCCACGTGGAATTCTCTGGGCACCTTACTATAAAAACCCCTCTCTTACACATACTCTCACCTGTGAGACAAACAATAAGGGGTTTGGTGTTCCAAGTCTCGAGTCTCTCCAAATGGGTAGAAGCCCTTGTTGCTCCAAAGAGGGCTTGAACAGAGGAGCCTGGACTGCTCATGAAGACAAAATCCTCAAGGATTACATTAAAATCCATGGTGAAGGAAAATGGAGAAACCTTCCCAAGAAGGCAGGTGAGTGAGTTCATCAAGAGCCACCGCTGGTTAGGAGACAACCACCTTGCTTTGCTCGATCTGTTGTTTGCTTTCAAGATGATGAACCCAAATGTGGATTCAATTCCATTCCATTTTGGGTTCTTTCTTTTTTTGTTTTTTGGTTTACTCCAGTCACGGAATTTCTGTGTTATTTATTATTTGAATGGTTGATAATCCAGGTCTGAAGAGATGTGGAAAGAGTTGTAGGCTTCGTTGGTTGAATTATCTGAGACCAGACATCAAGAGGGGGAATATAACCCATGATGAGGAGGAGCTTATCGTCAGGCTTCACAGGCTCTTGGGGAACAGGTAGCACTAGCAGCTCAATACCACAAACAATTAAATCGTTTGGGTTTTCTAGTTTTGTTAGGCGATCATGACCGTAAAGCAATTGAGCGTGTTAATGTGCAGATGGTCCCTGATAGCAGGGAGGCTTCCAGGGCGAACAGACAATGAAATCAAGAACTACTGGAACACTAATTTAGTAAAGAAGGTGCAGGGCCATCCCAAAACAACTACTACTTCTACTCAACATAGGGACCCAAACATGTCTAAAGGCTCCAACAAGAAGAAGAAAAAGAAGCCCATTCCGCCATCACCGGCAACGCCCAACGCGGAGTCAAGAGTGGTGCGCACCAAGGCATTGAGGTGCACCAAAGTTTTCCTCAGTCCACCACACAACCAAGTTGAACACATCGGCGTTAACGATGCCAGTCCCACAGTCGTCGTACCCACCACGGTTGGCGTCGACATTGCGACCCCACCAGCAGTGGACTCAGAATCCTACGACGGGCTGTCGTCGTTCACTCCCAGGGATGATAATTCACCGGATTTTATGATGGATTTCAACGTGGATGAGTTTTGCCTGACTGATCTCCTCAATTCTGACTTGTCCCAGCTCTGCCAGTTCGACAATGGAGTGCTGGGGGAGACGGAGACCAACTGCTGCAACGATGACAACAATGGCTTGTCTCCATATTCCGATCAACCTCTCTTTTATCCTGACGAAATGCTGGAGGAATGGACAGGAAGCGACTGTGTTAAACCCGACGTGGTTTCAGATCTCCGAACCTTGGCCACTTTTCTTGATTGCGAGGAGAATTGGTTAGCACAATAATCCAAAGCCAGTTGTTGTTCCTTCCTCCAAACTAATAAGAAGGTCACTAATTAGTTGCACTTGCCAGGGGCCTAGTGTGTCTGCTCCCCCTCCATCTTGTAGATATCCATGAATAACGGTCAACGATGATCCTCTGTATCTTGTGTAAGACATCTAGCTAGCTAGGAGTTAAAACCACTGGACTGTCATCTTGAATAATAACCTCTACTCTACACTCTGGTTGGGTTAATTTCTTACTGTGGAGAATGAGAACCTTACAAAGACTTTTTGTTTTATTATTATTTTTTTTTTTTCAGTCAGTTTGGCATATGGTATGGTATGGTGTACTAAGCTAGATAGGCATGGTTGTAGTTTGATTGGTGTTCACGTTAAAGCCAAAAATAAAAAGGGTTTGTGTGTTTATGGCTTTATTAATCCTATCGATAAATTCCCTGTTGCTAGATTCAATATAATCATAATCTGCAACAATTGGGAAAAATAGGGAAACACACGATGCAGAATTCTGAATTCCAGCCCCCCTACAACTAGCCCTCTCTCCCCTATAAACCATATCCTGCCCGTGAATTTGGCATTCCCCCTGTACTTAGAGCCTAGTAAATTCTGATCTGGGCTGATTGATACTTTTTTCTTAATAGAATCCCCCATACTATTATTTAAAAAAAAAAATTGGGGATTCAAATCCCCGATACTTTTATTGTTTTAGAGATGGAGGATGAAGAACAAATTTTTCTCCGGCAAAGATAGGGGATGAAGATGGAATTGGGGCAAGGACGGGGAATATGACAGTTGCCATTCCTATTTGGGCTGCGCGCAGCCTTTAGACCCTTACTGTAGTTTTACTGGTTTCTCTCCGTAATCTTCATTCTGCAGCACTATTTCGTTATTGTGCCTTTTTACTTTGGAAGGCCAGGATTAATACGGCATACGAGGAACCATCATCTCATTGGTGAATATGATGAGATTTGCGTGGACCCGCTCAATTAATTAGCTGGGGGAGCGGCAGGCTGGCATGGAATCTACCTCGATTCTTCTGTTTTCCACTTTTTTTGTTTTTTATTTTTTTTGGGGGTGGGGGATTTTTACAGTTCAGCCCAGCCATCATCAATGCCACGCTATAAGGAGTCTGAGTCTTGATAGGTGCTCATTGAAACCCACCTTAAAAAGTAAAAAGGGATGGGATGGAATGCATTTGTAGTTTGTAGGTAGGAGGACAAGACAAAAGAAACCTAATATCATAACAAAGTAGATGGTCATAAATCATTCAATGAGATCCATGGTTTTGGCAATATCATCAGCTCCAGCCTCCAAGTCATTGAAGCGTAACCAAACCAAAAATCTTTTGGGACATTTAATCTGGTCAATTTCCTGATAACCTTATTTTGCAGAGGATATGATATTAATGGATATTCAATGAACCATTTCTAATTAGCCATTGTCTTCCCTTGCCAAGAATTTTAATGATTTTTTTTTTTTTTTGCTATATTTATGATGTTATATGCTCTCAACCCATGGGTTGGCCCTTTTTCTCCCAGTCGTATCTGTTAAATTAATAACACTTGCTTTTTTAGCTACAAAACAAATGAGGTATGTGGAATCATCAATAGTATTCACCCCATGGTAGAAAATCTGATTTCTTTTTTTTTCTTGGTTTTTGTTGAGATGCTAACAACCCCAGAATGAGAAATCTAAAATAGAGTAATACAGCTACGTACAAAACTCTGGTGTTAGGCATTTCTACTGCGAGTACTACTATACGACACCATTGAAAAGGAAAACACATGCGTGAGCAGTCCGGGTTAGGTTTGGCAGTGGCGGCCGGCGGGATCCCGATCCCACCTTAATTACTCACGCATCACCCTTTTTAAAATTCACGGTTGTGTTGTGAAGAAAACCGGCCGGCCCTCGCTACTCTAGAACTCTCTCCTCCTTGACCTTTACTACCAAATATAAACTACTACCATGTGAACGTGATGTCATTGTTCGCTTTTTGTGTTATTTTATTTTAGGAAAATCTCTCGACTTATCAATTCTGTTCATTTATTATTATTTTTTTCTTTAACGAGATCTGTGTTCTCCGAATATAACCAAACATGGTGCTGGTTTAGCGAAAATGTAAATTTAAGGTTGGCATATGCTTTCTGTTTTAATCCTCTTGTTAATGGTATTTAGTTGTTTTATTATTAGTCAATCCACGATTTGGTTTAGTACGAAGGGCGCAGACTGGTCCATGTGTGATGTGTCTCTCGGCAACTGGGAAGAGACGTTCTTCTTCCTCATGCTCACTCCCTATTTCATTGTTTATTTATTTACTGTCATGGTACGGAGTCTTATAGCCAATTTAATTTCGGGCCCATACCTGTACAAGAAGGGAGCGACGAGCGAGGAGGATCGTTCATTTGGGCTAAGGAGGTCCACTACTGTACTATTACTACTACTAGTCTACAACTAGTGTAGGTGCCAGGTGGCACATCCTATCAGCTGTTGGTCAAAACTTTGGGCCGGCCCCCTCCTTTTCAGTTGGGACAGCGATTTATAATGGACCCCTCGCGTGAGGGACGTTTCATTAATGTCGGATTGGAATCTAGCTAACCCCATATGCCCCATGTTCTCTTTTCACTTTGGCAAATTCAATTGAAAGCTACTCCCCCTCATGTGGGAACCGTTACTGAAACCAGATCCTTCTTCAGTTCTATGACTCTGTACTATTTGTCCTCTATGTTTTTTTCTCTTTTTTCTTCAATTTTGGGAACCATTATTAATATATACTACTTGCATCATCCAACAATAGGTGTCGTTTTATAGGTAGCACATCCCTGCAAGTCGTGGTACTTAATTGATTGATGTATATGGCATCAAATTTGTAAATTTTTTAAATTATATTTTATATTATTTTGTATGTATTTATATTCTTTCTAAATTGAGTCTAAATATGTATAAATACAAATATGTACAACATAAATACATATAAAATAATACAAAATATAAGGTTTTTCACTCTACACATTTGCATTTGTACTTCCAAACTCAGCTTAAAGGATAATTTTTTTTTAAATTACCCTTGTTATTCAATTAATTGACTAATTTTACTCTTCTTATTTAATTATTATTTTAGAGTATCCTTAAATTTTTTGACAATTGATTAATCTTCGTTAATGTTCCATCAAAATTGTACTATATAACACCACATAACACATAATTTTTTTTTAAATCCAATATTACCCTCCACACTTATAGGTAAGAATCACCATCATGAGCGAGTGAGACTATTATGACCACTGTTGAAACTGGGTTATGGCAATGCCAACTGGGTCGGTACCACAACTTTCTAGGACCTCTCCATCTACTAGCAATTCTGGCGATCCCCACCAATTCTGGCCTCCGTTGAGGAGAGAGAGAGCTAGGATACCCCGTCCCCTCTAGATTCCATCACCATTAAAACCAATCAACTCTAGCATGAGAGAGAGAGAGCGCTAGAATTCAACCTCGTCGCAGGTTAATTCAAATGAACAAAGCACCGGAATAGAGAAGTACCATTACCATCGCATGCAAATTTTTTCCCTCCCCCCATTCTCCATCTGATTGGTTGACCCCGCCTATGGGCCTATGGATGAAAAGGCCAAGACTTATACTCCCGACTTTTTTTTAGATGAACCATTACCCCGGGGTGGCAGATGTAAAGGACGTTATTAATCTTTCATTATTATAATATAGTTTATTTATCTATAAAAAAAATACAAAAATATTTATCAATAAAAGGTGAACATATAATTATGGGTTGACATTTTTCCCGTCACCAACTTTCCCTCCATTTAAGGAAAAAAATGAAAGAGGTCAGAAAAGATGTATCGTTTTAATTTTAATTATACTAGTAAAAAAAATAATTGATCTTTTGTTAGATTTTAATCTCATAAGAGATTAAATCCAATGGGTTTGATTGGTCAATTACATGACAAATTGCACTTGCACACTTGATTGAAAAATTAGATTTTCTCTTGCAAAACCCAATTTTGAATTTATCCCACATTGGAAAATTATAAGCTTTGTTTCCAGTATTTTAATAGGAGCTGATTTACACTCCTTAGAATTAGTAGAGGAGAGTATGGGGGTTTGATATCACGTAACGCGCGTGCACGCGTGTAAGGGGCACTTTGCACGTGCGCACCCGCATGGCTTGCGAAGGGCGGCTTTAGTTTTGGTGTGATACTGACCGTTGATAACCGTTGATGAGATCAACGATCACGATTCGATCGGGTGTGATCAAGAGGCACAATTCAAAGTTAACTGTTAACTACTTTTTAAACAGTCACAATGTTTGAATTTGTGTTCAATGTGCCTTCTCTAAACCAGCACCTACATTTTCTTCATACATCTTCATAAACTATTTAATGAGCATGAATCAGACTCCAAAAACACACAATTTCGAAATTCACTCTCTCTCTCTCTCTCTCTCTCTCTCTCTCAATCCAGTCTACTACAGTCCCATAGAAAGTTCCTTTGGAGACTCTTCAACTTTGCTGGTTGCAGATTCTCACCCAAGGCTCTCTTGTATCTTGTGAACGAATTTGCCTGTAGCCCAACAGCAAACTCAGTAAAACTGAATGGGGGCAAATAACGTTCTAAAAACAATATCTTCAAACACACCTCAGAGCTCAAAGTTATAGTAACTCAATGAATCAATTCCATAGCCATCGAGAAAAAAAATAAAAAACTAATAATCCTACATGAACTTTGGTTGGTGTAAATTCAATTACAATCCAACTCAGGGTAAGAATTTACAACTGGCGATTGGAGCAATAATCAAGATATAACATATATGAGACCCATATAATAATCCAGGATTGGGACTCAAGGGTGGAGTCTGACAGGCATTATTATTTTTATTTTTGTTTTATTTATTTATTTATATTTGGTAAAATAACATGCTTTAATTAAAAAAAAGGATGGAGTCGGGTCGAGCAGAGCAAGAAAGTTACCTGACGAGTAAATGCAATAAAATATTCCAATTTATAAATGAACCACTCATCGTGTTTCCACTTCCCACCACGGTTTGGCCTTTGGCTCATGCTAAAAGGAAAATGTAACTTCCCAGCCCAGGCACCATGGTGGAGTGGAGTCTACTTGTTTGTTTAATTATTTATTTATTTCTTGTGCAGGGAAAGTGGCACTACAAGCACAAGAGCACGAGTGTAATAAGGCCGGCCCCAGTGGTCCTCCAACACACAACTGTGGTAGTGCTGTAGCAACTAGCAAGTCCATCCGGAAAATGGCCCGAGTAAAATGATTTCCTTTTCACTTAATAAGGTTTCAATTAACCCATGTTTGGTTTAAAGGAAAATGCAGAGAAAAGAAAATAAATAATAAAGAAACCTTTATAAATCTCGTATAAGTTTTACTATCTTTCCCTACCTTTTTCTTCAAACCAAACATAGCCAATTGAAAAAAAAAAAAACCAGGAGATTGGCTCAAAATTAATTAAGCTCAACTGGTCGAGCCACAGCAGCCTATTTGCATCCAATTTTAATAAGAGTAAAAGTTTAATGTGGCTGAAGTGAAAAATTTTAATGTGGTTGAGCTAAATGGTGTCTATTTATTTAGCTCTTTTCATTTTTATGTCTTTAAATTATCAAAAACGACTAAAGAAACAAAATTGCACTATCTTCCTTGTTTTGTTTTCTCACGTGAAAGTTGAAACCACTGTTTCTCGCTCCCTCGAACAATCTTCTCTCATGTTTCTTTACGTTCTTATCATTATTTTTTATTGTGATTAATTTTCTTTAAAGATAATATTTTGAAATCAAAGAATCCCCTTTCAAATAAGCCAGGTGAAGATTGTAGAGTAGTATCAAGAATCAACTTGTACATTGATTGGTGGCCTTTCCAGGCCAATTGACAAATATCACCCTGTACAACAACAGATGCAATTTATATATGCTACAGTGGTTATTTGTCATTTTGTGCCACACTCACAGCATCTGTGTTCCAAGACTCTAGCTGTAGGCTCTGTGTATGGAATACTGATGCGTGTTTGTTCGTGATTGGTTATGTAGCCTGTTAAACACAGTGGATGATCATACTGCGCCTCGTTTCATATTTTGCAATGATTTGTGTTGGGCTTGACACTAAGACTAAGTAGCCCAAGCCCAAAGTTTGGGCATCATTGAAATCAAGATGATGGGCCGTGATTCTTCACGGTTTCTTGTTATCCTCCAATGAATCATAATTGTGGGCCACACAGTCTACAGTGAATACATAAGAAATGAGATTAATGTCGTTCTACATTGCAAATAAGAGCGTTGTGTTGTTTTTCTGTGTCATCTCACCTTCTCACCAGGGTATTAATTGTAGTACTGTACAATTACTTGGGAACTAATTGGGCACCATATTTAACTGGGCCTGGGCCTAAATATATCATATCAGGAACAGAGTGTGGATCAAACCGGGTCTGATCTAATTTAAGCCCCTTTAGGTCATGTTTGTGAGTGCTTAAAAATAAGTGTTTATTTTGGTTATTAAGCACTTATTGGTATTTGGGAAATAAGCCCAAAATAAGTGTTTATTTTAAAAATAAGAGCTTTTTGTAAGTCCAAATTTTCAGCTTTTTTAAGTGTTTATACAATAAGCACTTATTCAATTTTTTTTTTTCTTTCAAAACTATCCTTAGTCAAATTTTAAAATACCAGTTATAATATTATATCTAGTTGAATTGAACAAAAGTACTTTTATGAAAGCATTTTTACAAAAAACACTTACGAAAAAGAACTTTTACAAAAGTGCTTTCACAAAAATGATTTCGTAAGTGTTTTTATAAAAGTGCTTTCAAAGGATATATTTTTAAAATTTGAAAGAAAATGAATGAAAAAATAGTCACAAACATGACCCACCTCGCACCAACCAATCTGGCAAAGCTCCTAAGCTTTATCTGCTTGTATTCCCCGGACAAAGTTCGACACTTCCACCGGGGGTTGATTTTTCCTTGCAGGATGTTGATACCAAGGCTGAGTTTGGAAGGAATACAAATGCAAATATGTAGAGTGCAAAACCTTATATTTTGTATGTATTTACAAAATATAAAGCAGCCCACATCTCAGCTACAGATATTGTGGTGACTCCAATTTTGCCCATTTTGGATCCGAAAACTTCACCCCTATGGTTTCTTATAATACATCCGAAAGCACAACAACCATTTCTAATGGCTGATGCATCAAACTTAATTTTGATGGAGTTCGGGTTGGAACCTAAAGCTTGAATTCCTACAGGATTTGTATCAAAGTATTCTTTAACATGATTTCAAGCTTTGTTATTATCTCTTGAGGGGTTAGATTCTAAGCCMCCACCCAAGAGGCCAAGAAGATCCCATAACCTGGCTAATGATTTTGCATATCAAGAAACTGTTACCATCTTATTTTACGCATTTGATCTGATGATCCACTTAAATTCTGTTCAATCCCACAGCACTCACTCTCTCTAGTCTCAATCCCAGCAACCCAACTTACAATTTTACACAGGCCGGGCTTGGGCCCAAAACTTTTTCTTTTTGATCTGCGTCCTGGATTATCTAATAGGTTGGCTTAACTCCAAACCGACATTTTCTTTCTCCCCACGCTTCTCTCTCTCTCTCTTTGGAAGTGCCAATCAAAGGATGAAAAAAGATATTTTCTTTCTAACAAAAAGATATTGTTTTCTTTCTCCCCCCGCAGATCCATCAGCTTCTTACTTTGACTTTTTTTGTCAGAAAGTGCTATTTCCGGGAAAACACCATCTCTCCGTCCGTCGTCTCCTCAGGAGATGGACGGGAGGACTTTCTATAAAAGTTTTTAACCCTATACTATTATAAGTAGCGCATCGTTTTTGCTGCTTTCTTCACTTCACTCCGGTAGGAAAGGAAATAGTTTGTCTTCTTGGGAGTGGGACTTGCAACTTAGGGAGGGAGAAGGGCTTTCTGTTTCCAGTTTCCCATTCCATCAGGCATCAATCGGAGTCGGAGATGGAAGATTTCGTCAAGGCCTTCTTCATCAGCAACCCGAGATTTTGGATTCTACTTCTGCTTCTGTTGGTCGTGTTGTTCGGGTGCGTAAAAGTTGTCTACTCCGTCTGGTGGAGACCCAAATGGCTGGAGAACCAATTGAAGCAGCAAGGAATCGAAGGCGCGCCTTACAAGCTCCTGCACGGTTACATGAAAGACTATGTGAGGTTGTTGACCGAAGCTTGCTCCAAACCCATGAATTTGAACCACCAGATTGCGCCACGTGTTTTACCATTCATCTATCAGACCGTCCAACAGTACGGTAAACCATTTGTCTTCTACTGTCGTCTCTATCCCTACTTTTCTTTTCGTTTGAACTGATCGTTTTCTTGGATGCATCATCATTTCTCAACATTAATTGTTACTTGTTTGATAACTTAGCCCCAAAAAATACATGTCAATTGCAACTTGTTTGTGAATTGTGACAGCATTCTCACTGAATTATATCACTCAAAATAAATTACCAATGAAAATTTGCAGTGTAAACAAATTCGATCGACCTCTCCTGTAAATCGCAACATATTGTGGGCTTGTGGCTGGCTATAAATGTGTAGACCACGGCTTGTTTTGTTTGGTTTCCAGCGTGTATTTTATTTATTTATTTTTTTTTTTGAGTGGATACATTAAATACATGGATCACTCTGTTCTGTACATCCCATGGAACACTTTAATCTTCCCACTTCTCTTTTGGGTGTGTAGTTGATCGTATGCATATTACTGTTGTTTGTTTTATGTAGGCAAGATATGTTACACTTGGTTAGGAACAGCGCCTAGGTTGATCATATCTGATCCTGAGCTGTTCAGACTAGTATTTACTGACAAATCCTATCAGTTTCAAAAGCCACCACTGAACCCTCTTGTTGATCTTCTGCAACTGGGACTCTCAACCCTGGAGGGAGACAAATGGGCTGGTCGCCGAAAAATGATATCTCCCGCCTTCCACCAAAATAAACTCAAGGTACTTTTCCCTTCCACCTCTTTAAGTTGAATTTACTTTACACTCAACCTATATACACATAAGGTTTCTCTGGGTACTAATCACATATATTAACAATCTTCATAGGGAGTAGGGATAGGGTGGGTCCATTTCTATCTAAAATCTATATTTTCTTCATGGATACATGGTAATCTTTGCTTCATCTATACTATTTTGTTTTTCCATTTAATTTCCCGGCTGCAGGGGATGGTGCCGGCATTCACTGTTAGTTGCAATAACTTGATCGAGAGATGGAAGAAACTTGTTAGTCCTCAAGGGTCTTGTGAATTAGATGTCTGGCCTGACCTCTCCAATTTTAGCTCAGATGCCATTTCTCGGGCAGCCTTTGGAAGCAGTTATGAAGAAGGCAAAAGGATTTTTGAACTTCAGAAGGAACAAGCTTTACTAGTCCTTGAAGCTTATCAAAGTTTATATTTCCCTGGTTTAAGGTACTGAACATCTTATCCTATTCCAAATAAATTTTGCCAGGTGAAGCATATTTAAATTTCAGCTTTCCTTTTAAACAAACGATGATTGTTCCAAATAGGAAGTCTAACAAAACAGCACCATCAATGCAATGGTTTATACAGATTCATTCCCACAAAGAAGAACAGGAGGAGGTATAGTTTGGACAATGAGATCAAAAGAATGCTGAGAGATATGATCCACCAGAAGAGGCACGCAATGATCACTGGGGAATCCAGCAGTGACAACTTACTAGGCTTGATGCTGCAATGCAGTGACCTGATTGATACACAAGTAAATGTAAAAAATTTGAGCAATGATCAGATGACAATCGAAGATCTTATAGAAGAATGTAAGTTGTTCTACTTTGCTGGCCAAGAAACAACAGCTGTCTGGTTGGCCTGGACCATGATTGTCTTAGCTATGCATCAAGACTGGCAAGAGAAGGCAAGAGAAGAAGTTCTGCAGATCTGTGGAAAAAGAACACCTGATATGGATGCTATATCCCACCTTAGGCTTGTAAGTGCTTCTGTTCTTCCGTTTACCAATTAGGCATCGTAGTTTCATTTCCTAACAAATGTACGAGTATCTAGTATATGTGAGTTTCCCATTGCACCTGTTTTTTCAGTAAAGCACTTCAGCCTAAGCCTGACCTATCTTTTGTTAGGCCAAAGACCAACCCATGAGCTTCAAGATACAGCACTAGCTGGCCTAAAGCAGGACTCTTGGGTGCTCTATTGGCCATCGTGTCCTATGTACTGTTGTGCTTGGTAACAGTTATATCATTGTCATGGACTCTATTCCTAGAAGTTTGCCTCCTACTTGGAACACCATCCAACCGCACTTAATTTGCAGTTATCTGCTACTAACAAACCACCCTTAATAATTTTCAGAAAAATTAATATTTATTAATAATAGTTTTAAAATCTTTTTTATATTTATGTATAGTAAAATTAATATTTATTGTATTTTCTGATCTAGGGACTGGGTATCTAATATTCCCATTTGCAATTCATAAAATTGAAAATTTGGGTTTATGAAGTATGTAAAAGGCCAGAATCAATTAAAAAAACTATGTTATAGGAGTAGCATCAATTGTCATGGTTAGGTTATGGGTCTCCCTCCCTTGCAGGTAACAATGATACTAAATGAAGTCCAAAGATTATATCCACCTGTGGTTAATCTATTCCGGTATACTCACAAGAAAACCAAGCTAAGAGACATATCCCTCCCTGCCGGGATTGAGCTTTATTTTCCAACATACCTTATGCATCATGATCCTGACATTTGGGGTGAAGATGCACAAGAATTCAGACCAGAGAGATTCTCGGAAGGATTTTCAAAGGCATCAAAGGATCAAGTTGCATTCTATCCTTTTGGATGGGGTCCAAGATTCTGTTTAGGCCAAGGTTTTGCCGCAATAGAAGCTAAGATGGCTCTGGCTATGATTCTACAACATTTTTCATTCAAGCTTTCACCTACATATGCACATGCTCCTTACACCGTTATAACTCTTCAACCACAACATGGAGCTCAACTCATACTACACCAACTGTAGAGTAATACACCCTGCCATCATAGAGGAGTATTTTTCGTTGTTGCTTTTTAATGTAATAGTTGGAAAAATGTTTGTTAGGCTGAATTGAGGTATTGAATTATTAGTGTAGCATTCCCGGTAATGCTTTGTGTTTTTGTTTGTTTGTTGTAATATTTGGAATAAGGCTTCATTATCCGAGTTAAGATATTTCAATCTGGTTGTAACTTTTTCCATTAATGATTTAGGAGAAGCATTCAGTAGCCCCTGTGCTACTACTAGATGTGTGTATGTATGCAACTGGTGGAAAATTTTGTAGAACTGAACCTTATGCATTGTAGACTGCATTAGAAGATCCATGAGAGAAAAGCCCAGCTTGATTGTGGAGTAAGACATAAACCAGAAGATGAGCAGTAGTGAAAAGATACCATTTTTTCTCTTTTCTTTTTTCCTATTTTTGTAAGTAATGAAGAGATAGATGAGATAACAGAAACAAGTAGTAGCCTAATCCTGAAAATGATCAAATGTAATGCTAGCTAAATCTACAAGATAACTGGGAATCCCAAACAAATTAGATATTAATTTCATGGCCAAGGTTGGCAATGAAATCAGCTGTTTGATTTCCCTCCGTATACACTTAGGGGTCCGTTTGGTTTGCAGTTGGAATCAGAATCGGTATCAAAATAGAAATTCTTTTGAATCAGAATCGAAATGGTCTATTCTCATAGTTTGCTTGGTTCAGACAGAAATGAGTAAAAATTGGAATAAGTAGGAATGAGATTTCATTCCCAAGGGAGGGGCAGGGAATGGCCATTCCCTCAAATGAAGGAATGTCATTCCAGCAGGAATGGGAATAAAATTCCAATTGCGCCCAACCAAACAGTTGGAATCAGAATAGCCCATTACTATTCCAATTCCGGACCCCTATTTGCCCTCTACTATCTTCTCCCTCCCCCATTAAGGCATCATCRTTGGGCTTGACTAGTATTGGAATGTATTGCAATGATAAAAAAGGGATAAGTAGACTGTACTCTCCCTATTACACCATCCTCAATCGGAAGTCAAATGACCTTAGCTAGTCATTAGTAAAAAAAACATTGACTTGAAACTAGACAGGGCAATCTTTGATATTCAATGGTAGGTCAGAATTGTGATTAGTAAATATTTCTATTATACTTTTGGTTGACCAAAAACGTATGAGATGTCATCAAACATATGAAAAATTATGGAATATATTACACGTTTTCAAAAATATGAAATGTTTTTAATAATTTCCTAGTATACTATTATTGTATAAAAACATAATCATGTTTGCAAATATGCATATCTTTAATAGATTATGCATAATGTATGTAAAAACTAGGGCCTGGCAGGTTTGATTGGTTTTAAGGAGCCAGTTGAAGCCTAACCCTGACATCAGAATCCCGGGTTCAAGTACAGCCAAACCCAAGGTTAAAACCAGAAGTGGTGTTTGGCATCAATGGTGATTCTTTCTTGTCGATTATTCAGAAATCGGTGATTTTTGAAAATTCACCAAAAATTGTTGTTTGGTATCATTTATGCCATGTAAGTCGATTTTTGAAAAATTGGCCTTAGTCTATTTGGTATTGATTTTCAATAGCTGATTATTTTTATATTAAAGTTATTATTCAATGCCATGTTGGATGTCATGTCATCCTCAAAAAGTCAGAATAAGCTAGAAATCAGGAAACCGGTGAAAAAAGTGATCCCTAAAATGGGCTGATTTCAATAATCGATTTTTGACCGATTTCCTGAAAATCACCAAAATCGGCCAGCCAAATAGAAATTTCAATGCCAACTGCTCTAATGTTGACATGAGTATGTGGATCTGGTGTGGCAGTGATTTTCAAGAAATCATCATCGATGCCAAACATCACCCAAGTTAGTTACTTGTCAAAAAATCACCAACGCAGACCCAGCCCCAATTTAAACCAATACAACTCAAGTTGAGCTTAGGCTTGTGCAAGCCCAGGTGGGTTTGGTAACGCCTGGGCAGGCTGGTGAAGTTTATAGATGTTTGTTCACATACGTGGGTCAAGAAGTATATAAATTTTGAAATATACTTAAGGGTATACATAATTATATAGTAAACTCAACTTAGCTCAGAATTTTGTTGTTGTTGTTGTTGTTTTAGAGATCACATTTGTGCCCCACATGCACATCTCAGCGTGCATTGGGGACATCTCCCAAAGTTGTCAGTGGGAGATATACTCAATACACGGTTGGGATATGCTGTGGGGCATTTGTGGGGCACAGATGTGAATTCATTATTTTATTTATTTATTTATTTGTTTGTTTGTCAAGTTCAGTTGGGCCCAGAAATCTGAGTTGCAAGACAAACCTGAACAAAAGTTAGGCCGTGCAAAATGCTCGAGTTGGATCTTGTCGGGCTCAGTTTTACCCCACCCAAGTTATAGTCGCAGTTAAAAAAATACCAATATTTACTACTCTACCCGTTCAGTAAAAGTCATACAATATTTTCTTAGGGACTGTTTGGGGAGGATTTACCTACTTGTATTTGCACTCTTCACAAACTGAGCGTTTACCTTATTTTGTTTGATTGCGAGTACAAATGAAGTAAAATAAGACCTGAAACAGAATAAAATAAARCTCAAAACAAAAATTAAATTAGAATTTACAGTACTAGTACAAATATAATTGCACTGAATCATCTAGAAATAAGGTAAAATGCATGGGGACCATGAACAAATAACATGTATTATTGAGGATATCCCGGGGACCATGTACCTTCATCAGGTTGATGTTGGTACATGAAAGCACTTTTTCATTTGTACTAATACAAATGCATGGGAGTGCAAATGAAAAAATATATATATATTCTGGATAATTTTGTTTTGGGTTTTACTCTGTAATCACACAAAATAAAGTGAATTTTGAAATAAAAATAAATCATACTTTGTATACAATTTTTTTTGCTATACCATAGCTTTGCATGATTGCAAATAAATTTGCACCGCAACCAAAGTCAGCCAAAAAAGATGATTGATCATTGATGGAACGCAAATTGGTTTGTTACCATACAAGGTAGGTTTAAATTATTTTTCATATTCATGGAAACGAATTGTACGGAGACTACTCCAATTTCCAAATCGTTAAAAATTAAGAACCAAAATTATAAAAATAAAACAAAACTACAACCAAACCTTGAAAACGAAACGTGATTTCGATTTCATGTACCAACATCAACATGATGAAGATAATGCCAACCAAACACACCGATCGAGAATTCTTTACATTGATTCTTAGTGATCGAATGGAATAAATTTCCGAAGAAGAACAGAGTTAATTTCCGAAAGGAGCTAGAGAGCAGACGACAATTCGTTTTATAAAGACATAAGAGGCATTAATTTCATGAGAACCCACACAAACGCTCATTGAAATCACTGAATTTGCTCACCCACTCCAAACTGAAAGGCCCCTCGGTAGAGAAATCTAAGAATTCATCCACATCAAGTCTAGTCGGGGAGTCCACGTCTCCTTCCCAGGTTCCCTCTTCATTCACATGTAAATTATCCTTCTCCACATCCCTGCAGGTTCTTTGTCGCTTAAACCCACATGTTGTTGTTTCTGTTCTGAGTATCTCCTTCTGGTTCACTTTCTTGCTCAAATGAGAGTTCCAGTAGTTCTTGATCTCATTATCCGTTCGACCCGGCAGCCGTCCCGCAATCAGTGACCACCTAAGCCATCATCGCTCGAATCAATTTATAAGATAGCAATACAATGAAGGAATAAAAAACAAAGAAATCCCACATTTGGAAGCGGATGAAATTACAATTGCAGTTTGTGCGAATTAATATATAGCTCATTTCACGAACCTGTTTCCGAGCAATTTATGAAGTCTAAGTATCAAGTCTTCTTCTTGGTCTGAGATGTTGCCTCTCTTGATGTTGGGTCTTAGATAATTCATCCATCTCAGCCTGCAACTCTTCCCGCTTCGATTCAGACCTGCAAGAATATACATATATACAAGATATCGAGGTCAGCGACAAACTAAATACATACTTAGAAATGGAGTCCCATATACTGTCATTGCGCCAGGAACCTACCTGCTTTCTCTGCAACTGACTTCCACCTCTGTGCACCATGAACTTCAATAATTTGAGCCAGCTTCCGATCTTCTTCAGCTGTCCATGCTGCTCTGTTTAGCTCTTTTTTAGCAGGCCCGTCGGTCATCAGCGCCATTATATTGTCTCTCTATATATGTCTCTGGAAGTTAGATAGTAGTAAAAGACGAGAGAGAGAGAGAGAGAGAGAGTTTTCTTCATGGAGAAGAGGTATCTATCTACCTATCTATGGCATTTATAGAATTTTAAGTAAGAAGGAGAAGTGTGTATGGGACGTCTTACCCTAAAACAGAGCTTTGTGGGATTACAAAAGAAGCTAAGAAGTCATAATGTATAAGAAAAAGCTGCAACTAGGTGATTTTTCTATGCATGAGCAGTGAGTACTGTTTTTAATAAAATAACAGAGGCTAGAATCTAAAGAGGAGAAGACAATCAACATCATCAATATCTACACTAATTAATCCGGTTATCTTGGTAATTTTAGCAGATGTCTTTTATAGCATGTGATCAATTAAATGTTATGGGAGGACCCACCTCCTCAAATTTGGAGCATTGATGAAAACAAGATATATATATATATATATATAATTTTTCATACTTAATTAGTTTTCTCCATTCTTTTATTTTGCGCTTGCAGTTAGAGATATTACGTGACGTCGATGCTAATAAAGCCACGTGAGCTTTGTCTTCTTGTTCTTAATTGTAGTAGAGCCTGTGTATCACTCTCATTCCTGTTCTCGTTTTCTGCTTTTTCTTCTTTTTATCCTTGTTTTACGAGGGCCGAGGAGAGAGAGAGAGAGAGCTTGGATTAATAAACCTCGTGTGATTTTCCCGGCTGAATAAAAGTATGAAATAATACAATATTGGCAAGAAGTGGTTAATTAAAAAAGGGAGATTAGGTTTAATTTATGAATTAGGTGAAAGTTAAAAAGCTGAAAAGCTTTTATTTTATTAAAGGATTAGGTAAGAAAAAGAGATGTAACCCCATTCATGCATAGTGGTAGCGTGTACAGACCATAACGATTAACAAAGGAGAGGAGAGAATGAGAGATCACATTTCACATGACACGCAGGCACAAGGATGTAAGGAATTGATGAGTTGATTTGATTAATTGCCTACAAAAAAAAAATGCAATATGTTAATTAATTACGATATACAATTTATTAAACTCTGATTCCAATACTCACGGAGAGGAGACCACGTGCTTCATCATCTTTAAATGCCAAGACTAGCTACTACAGTCTACACATGCGTCAACAACCAACATGCACATGGGCATTTTTTATTTTATAAAAGGAAATAAAAATATAGGAATCGGGAGGATATGAATATCCATGACACAATTCCCATCTGCGCAAGTAGTTGGCGAGCATCGAAACAAGTGGAATTGAATTGATATTTGGGTTTTTTTTTTTCATCTTCATAATCGATCATATACATTTCAACAGGAGGTGGGCTTTGGTATTCCAATCTAGGAACTCTCGCTTCGCTTTGCAAAACTACCGGAGCCATTTAAGGGCAAGTGGGAGAGACTGAGACTGAGACTGAGTTCAAAGCATCCCACCTAGATGAATTCCAGACCCAGTTAGTTAATTTTTTTTTTTACTAGAAACCTGTAAACCTGTTTGCAAAGCAAAGCAATAGCCAAATGAATAAGAGAGCTCTGCCAAATATATATAAATGCTAATTAATTACTTTTATATATATTCATTCAACGCGGAGATAGTGAGATAGACCCCACAGTCCACACCCACAACCGAGGAATTCCAATTGCATTTACTGATGACGTTTCAATTCAACCGAGGAATTCCAATTGTAGGAAAACTCATGCTCCATTAATTCTCTTTCCATTTCCACCATGAAGGATATCTCTCGTCACATCATGGCCGACGTACACTACACTTCATCAATTTTTATACGTTCTCACTTTTCACTACTTGGGAGTTGGACTACTACGTACATTTCACATAGACATTTCATTTGACAACTCCCCTGATTTCAGTCCTATTTCTTCTTATATCAAAGAATCTAGGGACTTCGCCCATAAAAACTGTTTGTTTGAGTGGAATTGGAATCTCATTCTCATTTCTTGTAGAATTAATGGACATTCCCTCCCCCCTCTCCTCCTCCCTCAATAATAAAATCCCATTCCAACTGATTTYAAATGGGCCCTTAAATCTCTTCTCGTAGAATATTGATGATTCAATGAGTGTAGTTTCATTGAGTAAGCCATGCATGTTCTATCATATGTAGTTATCAACTCTAAAGTTCAATCATCCGAAAATCTCTAAATCTTTTCCCTTTCTATTTTCTATTGACTGAGTGGCAAACATTTAGGCTATGTTTGGTTTGAAGGAAAAGGTAAAGAAAGATAAGGAAACCTATAACACAGCCTTAAGAGGCACCAAACATGAAACAACAATGCGCTCATTATATTGGATTACAACTCCGACATGAAGGCTATGCCACTCCAGTAGGCTTGCTTGGGCCATTCCGGAACTAGCATAGTGGGCTTGACCGCTTGGGACTTGGGAGGGATTGTTAGTCGGATGGATGGATCCAAATTTTATCCGATTGATTATATAAATGGACCAACAATTAATTAATATATCATCTTGTATTCTTGTGGATTGATCATCTGATCAGCTCTGTGGACAGTCCAACTACTTCTCCTTTACTCTGATTTTAAAAAAAAAAAGAGTAAATTAAATAAAGACATTAACCATTTAAATAAGGTAAATGGTAATGGTAGAGAGATTATTATGACTAGTCGTTGCTTGCTTAATTTCTATTGGGTTACGTTGAAATACAAGATAGAGGGCGTTGCCACGTTAGTTGATTCTTTCATCAGTATAAATTCAAGAGCTATGTTGCAAGGAGAAGGACCCCCACCGCCTAATGGATCATCTTCTGCTACATCACATTGGAGGAATACCGCTTTCATTAATTAATTCAATTAATTGCTAAGGTTCTTTATCAATCTTATGCTTTAAATTTTGATGGTCTCTCGTTTTTCCTTTTTTTTTTTTTTTGGTTTTCAACAAAATCTGCCAAAAAGCAACATCCACCTACTACGTTACTCTCTCTGGCTATATCATCTACCCCTGCTTATTCTTTGTTTTATAATCTCTTATCCCTTGAAGAGAAGTTGTATTCTGATTTTGTTGATGAATGAAATGAGTCTCAGGGATCGATATTAAAAAGAAAAACAAATAAAAATAGAAAGAAAGGAAGGAAGAAGCTGTACAAGTTTAACTGGAGATGCAACTTGTAAATCCATTGCTACAAACACCACAAGCTACAGCCTGAAATGCCAATACACATAGGACAGTCTTAGTACCATACCAACCCAAAGAACAAAAAAAAAAAAAAAACATTTTTTTCTCTAAGTCCAACCATGATATCATACAGGCATGATTTCAAAAAATAAAATAAAATCAATCGACCAGTATTCATCATAATTGACGGGGTTTTGATTTGTCAAAGTTCTTCCGGCATCATACTTTTTTGTCATCACACATATTGTCGTTTTTTTCTTTCTCAAATCGTATAACATTATGCATACATCCAAAGCTTTGCTTATATTTGAAATCAAGAATTAACAACAAAAGCAACTGCCATGTGAGCAAAAATGTATTGTTTTTACTGACATGGTGGTTGCTTTTATTTTAGAAAACAAAACTATTCAAATCGGCCAACACATCCCTAAATATTCTGATAAATATAAGTTGATTTTAGGTTTCTGATCTTTTACACACATGACACAACAATTCACTGATTTTATCCATTGATTTTGTTCTTCTGGGGCAACGTATCATCAATTGGGCCAGCCCTTGGAGTAGAAGTTGCAAATTCCAGCCTTATTCTCCAGCCCATTTTTTGCCCAGCCCAAGCAAGCAAGCATTTTAGCGCAACCCATTTTGCAGAGGGGGTGAAAGAATTAAGAAACGGAAGATGGGAATCTACTCAACTCAACCCAACTAGTATTTGTAAGTTTGATCATTGATGTGAGTTCTACACTGGATACATCGTTTGATGTGACTGAAGCCATCAGTAATTCATCGTTTCCTCAGTTCTTACTACTTTTCCTTTTTTTTTTTTACCCGGAAATAAATGAAAAAACTGGAACCGACTTACAGAGAGACAACAGACAAAAGTATCTAACGTTGAGTTGCAGCAATTACATAATTAAAAACCGACCAAAAAGGGAGTAGCTAGTCTCTTGTTTTCCTGTTTTGATTTCTTGCGTAGTTCTACGTCGTCGTAAAGCCTTTGATAACCCATTGATCTCAAATGGAAGTGTCTCCACCTACTTCTCGCTTTCTCTTTCTTCCAAAAACTAACAGCTGACCATACTTCTTTTGTTTTTCTTCTCCACAGATTCGGGTCGTGTATTAATTAATGAGAGGAAAACCGTACTTACTTTACCAAAAGCGTATAGTGCTAATCGATTTCACAATCCAAAACCAATCGTGACAAGAAAAGAATACGAGGAGATTCAATGATAGTGTCGCACTCATTCATCACAGGAGTCAGGACAGCCCCAGTCCTGCCTTTTTCTCGTTATTTTCCTCACCTCCTTTGCCCGTTGTCCCCAACCCTTGAATTTGATTTTGATAGATTCCTATACCCATATATAAAAGTAAAAGACCGACCGACCGACCGACTGACTGACTGAAACTATCAAAACGCCACTACTTTTTTATTATATTATATTGTCGCTAAGGCTGATGGCCGAGGCACAATTTGAATTTGCAACAAGTGGCAGCTGAAATGGCAGCACCAATCCTTCATTCTGCCTGCTTCCACACCGCACTTTCAACTGCTACAACTTCAGTAGTCCAGTCCAGTCCAGAGATCACCTCACCTCTTGCCTCTTCTTCTTGCACATGACAGAAACAGAAACAGCTAGCTAGCTCTTCTTCATCAGCCCCACTTGTCCGGCCGGTTATATATCATTGTATGAACGAGGGTGGCCAAGGCCAACCATGCATGCAAAAAATACATTAGGCGCCAGATACGTTAATTGTTACTACTACTATTGGGTAGTTCATTAAAGAAAGAGGAAGCTTTCGCCTTTCGCCACTTGGGCGATTACGTGCGCTGGAGAAGTTAGTCCCCAAGCTATGTCTAAACAGATCGATCGAATATATACAGGTCCAAAATCATATAACGAGGTTCAAGATTAATTTTGTCAAGGTAATGCTGCAATTTCCGGTCAAAAAAATTCCGAAGATCCAGTTATGGCATCCATGAGCGCTTTTGCATCCGAGTAAATGGTGAAGCTGGACCAACCATGCTGCTTAGCAAAAAAGAAGGCTTTGAAGAATCGCAATACATTCAACTATAAACCTAAAGATCCTTGAAGGGTACCACCATCACAAATAATATTGAGGGATCACAAACAACATCGCTGTGCTGTTGGGGAATTGTCAGAGGGGATTGGTAGCTGGGTGTTAGGACATTCTTTAGGTCTTCTAAGGCTTAATAATTCATCAGATTTAATTGAATTTGATGTAGGACCCAAGTAATATTTTTTTGGTCTTTGTTGAAGACCAAAACTATTTCTAGCAATCCAGATGAAATACCAAGCTATAGTTAACCAGCTAATTACTTGCTCCACTAATTGTTATTTTAACTCCAAATATATTGTCCAAAAGACTCAAAACATTAGGAAAAGAAATGAGGTTCAGTGGTATAGAGATCGACCAAGTACTAGCAAAGAGAATGGCTCTGGCAAACGGACAATGAAGGAAAAGATGAGACACACTTTCCTCTTGATTTTGGCATGTATATATGGAGCATCCAGGTTGAACTATGATTCCCCTGGTTGCAAGGTCAACTTTACAGAGCACCAAGTTTCTTAGAAGCCTCCAGAGAAAGATCTTATACTTTGGGGGAATTTTTAGCTTCCAAACAATTTTGAGCCACTTTGAAACTAGTTTAGGATAGGAGTTCTTATTTTCCCACGGCTGCATTTGATTGCAGTGCAATTTTATTTGCACTGGCACAAATTCATGGGAGTACAAATGAAAAAAAAAATGCAAATTCTGGTTTAACTTTGTTTTGGGTTTAACTTTATTCTGATCTATGTCTTAATTTACTTCATTTGTATTGCAATCAAATAAAATAAGCTAAAATTTGAAAGAAAAATAAGTCAGAATTTACAATCAAATAATTTGCACTGCCACTGTTTTACATCAGTACAATTTTATTTGCATTACAACCAAACACAGCCCAAAGGACATCGTAATACTTTTTAGTTGTAAAATTTCCATTTCTTGCTCTAATCCACAGGAAGATATCCTGCTGGTGAGACCACAAAAACCAAATCAAATGCTAATTTAAAACTTCATAATCTAGAACTAAATATGGGGATCAGTTTGGCTGTTTCAATTAGCATGGCTGTGCAGGGCTGCAAATGGTATTGATCCAAATTTTATTCATCTATAATAATGGGATCTTATCCATGGATTTTGTCCAATTTAAATATCAAACGGATATTAAATAGTATAAATAAATTAAACTAAAAATATTCAAGATATTTTATAGTATTAATAAAATGAACTAAAATTGACTCTAAAATTAAACTTTATGAACAATATTAATGAAAATTACTTATATGAAACCTGACCTATGAAAACTTAGTAAAAACACAACATTGAAATCAACTTTACTAATCGTATTGGATTGTGGTGGATCCATATTCGATCCAATTATAAATGGATCGAATTTTARTCACCCTTAATGGGGCTGAATTGGAATGGAACAAACAATTTGATCATCATTATCATAGACGCCATTCTCAAGGGTGGTTTGGTTTCCTTGCCTTCTTGCTCTCTAGTTGAAGCTTAAGCACAAGCAATGAAGTTTGCCATAAAACTGTTTCTTTTCTCCATTCAATTATTATCAAAGGTGATTCCTCAATGCTTGGTCGACTCCTTAGAGCCACCGTGGTGCATTAGCACCGTCACTGCTGATTGCAGGAACTAAACGCCTTATCTTTGTCTCAGTTTCCTTGATTAAGAGAACAGCCAACAAGGCTGCACACCAAGTTGCTAGAACTCCTACAAATCTCTCTAAACTTTGTACTTGGCCAGTGTGCCCTGATTTCCTTGGAACAACTGTTGAATCTGATATATTAGAATTGAGATAATTGAATGAAATCATGTTTTTGCATTGCAGAGAGAAAGACAATTGGATACCGCTTGCAACCCTATGAATGTGGGGTAAAGAGATGTAATTACAATTGGTATTCTTTTTTTTATTAAAAAGACAAATAAAGAACTTAAGTGGGATAATGTATCACATGCAGGAAGCTTCAAAACAGCCCATCCTGTTTTACCAAACAGCCAAGCTTTTCTCACAAAAAGAGTTGACCCTTGTTACCCACCGCTAAAAGAGATGTAATTACAATTATCTCCTTTTTTTATGGAGCAGAAGTTGAAGGTTTGCCACGTTGGCATAAAAACCCTCTTTTTTTTCTTTATTTCGTACTCACCCCACTTTCCTACTTTAAAAACAATAGTTTAGTAGCCTGATTGTATTTACATAGGATGCCTCAATACCCTCCTTTGATAAAACAGATCAAAATGGCTCACATCACATTTACATATAATGTGTTATCATTACAGAGCTGAGTTAAAATAATTTCTTTAGTTTATGAGTCTACGGTAGGGTTGTCAATTGGACTGGATTTGGTCCAATCAGATCCCGTCCAGTGTGAGTCCTTTATAAATGGACCAGGTCCAATCCAATGAACATTTTGCATCATTTTGTACTAGTCTAATTCAATGTCTGGACCATTCAATCTATTCAAATTTGTGTTACTTTAGATAAGTTCCAATCCAAACCCGGTCCATTGACACCTATATTCTTATCTTTTGAACCGGATATTGACTCAATCCAACATAAATTCATAACAGATGGATGAGGTTCAATCTTATAAATACATTGGACCATTAAGTCTGGACTGATCCAATTCATTGTCTTATTGGTCCGTCCAGTTCATCCAAATTGATTTTGGTTTGGACGGGGTCCACCCAAAAACTGGTCCATTGACACCACACCCCTAATGGCCTAATCTACGGTATCTCGACCCACGAGAGCACCAAAACTTRAAAAGTAAAAGATGATGCATATATCCTCCCCAAGCAGTAAGCCCCACACATTACATGACACATGCAGCTAACAGGTTCAGGTTGCTAGGTCATTTTAGTTCCTTCTCCAGAGCCCAGACGAGTGGCATGTCCACTAGTAATGAGAATGATGAGTCTCCCTCTGACGGCCCCAGCCACATCCACTTGGGATGTCTAATCATTCATGAGTAGTGGGCATTGGATCCGCTGAGCGCTATTTATTTTTATTTGTCATCTCCAACTCCATATATCAGCACCCACATTTACATTTACAGCGAATTGAAACATGTCTTCTTCACTTTTGGATTCGAATATTTTTGAACTGTAAATCAGTAATGGGCAAGGACGATGGAATGGTAGCTGCAGAACTCGGTCTATTTTGCCATGTAATTTCTCCGTCTTAAAACCCCCAAACCTATGCCCAACTCAACTCAAGCGGTGTTGGTTCAATTTTAGATGAGAAGAAAAAGCAAGCAGATAGTACATTACATAGTAGGCTGGGCTCCGGTGCCCACGGGCTCGCCTGCATGCCATAAAAGTTGAAACTACTCCTGTCTCCCCAGATTCCAGGACCCATATTTTGGAATTTCACTCCACTCTAGCAGTATGGCCACCAAACAAACAGAAACAGTGCAAAGAAGGAAAACGAAACGGTGCCATTCAAAAATCTGTAGCAGCATATCTAATCTGACGCCTAAATTTCATAGCCCATGGTACTGGGGTTCAACATTACTAAATAGCCAAGAAAGCAGACAACATCCGAGCGCCATAATTTATCTAGATGGAAAAACACATCCAAATCCCAGACAAGAACAAGAGTTTCAGTGGTCTACGAACCCACTTTTGTTGGAGACTACCCATCATAGACCATAGCCTTTCGGTTTGGAGTTTGGACAACCACCACCACACACAACAATGTGTTCCGCCAATAGTTGCCACTGCTGAAAAGCTCCAGACAGGATCCCATCCAACCTGCTGGCGTGACTGGCGTCCATGTTCTTATAGATAAATAATACGGGTGTCGTATTCATTCCCCTGTTCTTCTAGACCATTTGCTGCTCCTGCCATAATTTGAATGATGTGTGTACAGAAAGAAAGCTATAATTAACCTGTTATGTACCTTAGGAGAACTCACCCCTAAAAGCTAGCTGTTAGAGGGAGGGAACCCAAGCACATATATACCCCACAACAGCATTCCATTCTACCGATGTGGGATACTTCACATTAGCATCCCATACTACCAACATGGGACAAATGGATCGTAACATCCCACCACGCTTCCGCAGTCCCGACGCCCACACAGGCTGGCTTTGCACTAGTCCACCTAGTCCCGGCCGAACACTGCAATACCGACGTCACCACCTGCGCCGCACGATTGCAACTGGGAGGCATAGTGTAGGCTCTGATACCATTTGTTATGTGCCTTAGGAGAAGTCGCCCCTAAAAGCTAGCTGTTAGAGGGAGGGAACCCAAGCACTATATACCCCACAACAGCATCCCATTCTACTGATGTGGGATACCTCACATTAGCATCCCATACTACAAACATGGGACAAATGGATCGTAACATAACCGAAATGTCAACTGAGTTGAAATTCCAAAACTCAACTGCACCCAGTCTCTAGGATCGGGCTGCCTGAAACTATGGAGCTAATATGACTAACCAGTCCAATGGTCAATACAAAGAACCCATTGCATTGCATTGCATGCTTATGATAATGGAATATCCCCTGCCCCCCTTTACCTGCCCAAGTTGAAAATGAAAATAACATGTAGACTAGTAAGTCCAGATTATGCCCTATAACTTTTGTTATATCATGAGTAATTGCTATTAGAAATAGTTAGCTACAAGTGAATGCTATGGAAATTTTTGTTTGTAACTTTTGTTGAGATCTACTAGTTTACAATTTTTTTCCAAGACCCAATTACAGGCCATAGAGGCCAATTTTTGAAAAGGTTTGCTTTGCTTTCTACTATACATCTGCATATACACCCTTGTACTACTTAAAAGATTAAATTATTAAGTATTATTTCTAAAATCTAAAGTGGAAGATATAGCACCGGGAAAGGAGGGGGGATTTGCCTTGGCTTTTGTTTTAGCTCATTCAAAGACAATAATATATGCAAATCTTTAGAATGAAGAACCAAGAACAGTCCTTACGACAGCTCGGGCACCAAGTGAGAGATAAGGATAGAAGGGATGGGAGTATAGGGCAGTGAGGTTAACAAAGTATATATGTGATACCCAGATACTTTTTTTTACTTGTATAGTGCCAATTTAGGAAAAAAAATAGAAGCTAAGGGCTAACTGAGGCCTTTCAGGTGGTGGAGCCTCCAAAAGGAGCTGGCGATCAGCTGACCTAAATCATTCAGGACCAATAGGTGAAGGAGAATTCAATAAAGACAGAGCTAAGGTCTATCTACCCTTTGATGCCTAAAGCTTGGCTTATTTTCAACTTCCACTGTCTTCTGGATAGCACCTTCCATTTCTGAATTTGACCATTAAAGAAAGATGAATAGCCATGCTACATGCATCAAACAAGTTGGGAAGTTTTCTGAAATAGAGATTCTTCACCTTTATATTATAACCAGCACCATCTTGATGGCATGGCACAATAGGACAAATGGTGGTCTCATCATTACTGCTCGGAGCAGATATATGAAGTAATTTGTTATGCAGAACACTATCATACAAACCAAATTTAATTGCCTCTTGTATCGCAAAACCTTCTCATATACCAGATTTTCTTCAACACTTGAATCAATTACAAGTAGCATTTCCCCAATTAAAAGTGCCACTACYCAATGCAACAAAGCATTGACCCGATTATAAGGGATCTACTACATGAATCCTGTTAAACCATTCCACTTTTTTCAGTGCCACATCCATTGTTAAATAATGGGACCTTGAATCATTTTTCACAATTTCAACCCATATCCTTTTCTGCATGCCCCTAGCTCTTCTACACTCATTTTTTTGGACATGTTGTTCTTTGATTTCCCAATACTCTAGTTTATACAGCATTCCTGACCTTATAGCCATTGTACAAGGCTTTCCCTTTATCTTAAGTTGTATTCTTCAATAATGCAAATCTCCAAATGTGKCCCATAATTTGCCCATCCCACCCTGATTCTATGAGTAATATCCTCTTCAATCTCTCCTTGTTATGAATTTTCAAACCAAGGAAACAGAGGTCATATTGAGAATATTTTTCTACTAAACACCTCAATAAGAAGATAGCTTCAATGGTCGATCCCCCTAGCATAAAGCCAAACTAGTACTCTCCCCCGAAGATTCATAATGTGGCTTGTAAGTTTAACTTCACAATAATTATTGCTTCTTCAAATAATTTTTCAAACAAACCTACGTATCCTTCCTTCAACTGTTTTTCAAAACTCTTTCACTTTAGAAACCCTAATTTTTGGAAAATACCTATAATTTCTAGTTATACCGGAAATACTAATCCCTCCCAAGCTCCACCTTCTATATGTTTTTCATTTAATAATTTCATTTTTAAATACCTTCTCCATCTTATCTTCATATCCAATTAAAAGTATCAGTGTAATCTAGAAATATTGCTAGCAATCAGCTCTCAACAAACAAACAAAAAAAAAACTTCTACTCCCAACATCAATATAGGAGCATCTAATTTTCAGTTTCCTAATTGTTAAGTTTTCACCCTAAGTAGCATCCATGAATATTTAACAAGTGTTGAACATGGCTTGCTCAAATAATATGAAGTAATAACACAACCATACAGTGAGCACAGAGCAAACAATTCTTTCACCTTTGACTAAAGAATAATATGAAGTAATAGAAAGACAGCAGTACACCACCTGTTTGCACCTTCTGTTATTTGATTATTTATTAATAAATTTTTTATTAGTTTTCAATTAAAAAAAGATAGAAAGAGAAAAGAACTGAACATTAAAAGGAAAAAGAAAAAAACAAGTTCAGGAATCAAATTCAAGAATTTGGAGATCAAATCCAATAACTAAAAGAACAGAAAGATCAATTATTTATTTGGACGAGAAAAAACATCAGATCTACCCTGAGAAAGTGGAAAATGGCTTGTACCACTCTAAATCACCATGTTAGGCATCAGACAAGAAAAAAAGCATAATGGCTTCAAAGAGGCCTCACCATGCAACAATATAAGCACTACTTGCATTTTTCTTTTTCACCTCCAATCATCTCATTCCAGTTAGGGCTGGATAAAAGGAATATATCCTCAAAAAATCATGCCAAATTTGGAAGTAAAGCAACTATGAAACAATTTTAAGAGAAACAATTAGAGTTAGGAACGGAGAAAGGAATATAAAAGTTAGGAATGTTGTATTTCAAAAATTACCAAAAAAAAAACAAAAACAAAACAAGAACAACAAAAATTCTGCCATTGAGAACCATGAAAAGACGTGTAAACATAGTTGACAAAATAATACTTATCAAGCAACCTTTACCATTTGAAACAAAAGCATCAAAGCATCAACTGTTTCTACTAATAGTTGCTTCTAACAAATGAAATCTTCTCATTTTCAATTACTGAATGTCAAACCACCAAGGCCTTTTACAATGTAACTCTATGTCAGACTCTTTCACCTACAACAGCACATGACAAAGGCAAATGTTTAAATTTTCACCAGGGGTAAACCAACAAAAATCCCAACATCTTTTTTAAGGCATATTAAATGCATTAAATGCCCTAAACAGCAGAAATTATTCTGTAAGTTATGACCACCAAAAATTTGGAAAAAGAAGCCCATGAAGCTCAGTCAGTCCCTAATGCACCTAATCTCCTAACATATTTCCATAGACTATAATTAACACAGTGAAATATGCTGTGCAAGTGAGGCCATGTAGCTTGATTTTTGCCTAACAAGAAACATAAAACCACAGCTAGTTCTGATGAAATGAGCTTAATATGCTAAACCACTTTAGATGTACAAAAGAAAAACACAATCAGAGTTTATCACTTGAGTTGGCATGTATTGTGAAATTGTGATGTTGTACCTCCATAAAAATTCCTCTCAAATTTTCAGAATGAGTAGGAAGTAAGAACAATTTTCACCACCCTCAGTTGGAAGTTGGCAAGTTGATACTAAGCCCCTACATGGAAGAAATCAAGCAACAAATGCCATAAGCTACCGCTAGCATCCAAAAAATTGTCAGTCTCCTTATCTGTTACTTTTCTATAGTGTAAATTTGAAAGTCATCAACTTCCAAGAATATTATAAGCATAATATATTTAGAAAATCTAAGCAACAGTTGATCAATAACCAGGATTACATGGATCCTAGAAGTATCCATGTTGGAAACCTGCCAGATTCCAACATCTGATATACATAATGAATTCTGTCCTTTTAAACAATGCTTCTATGTAAAAACACACTTTTAGAAAATATAACCAGCAGTTGAACAATAACCAGGGTTACATGGATCCCAGAACTATCCACCTGCCAGATTCCAACATCTAATATACATAATAAATTCTGTCCTAACAGCACACTTTTATATTTTGATCCTCCATGGTTATCTGACAATAGAATTCACAAGATGTGGAAATTTTTAATGGCAAATTTCAACATTAGATGCTCCTCAAGTCAATGTTTTTTTCATCTCAATGTCTATCAACACTGCATAACAGGGAAACAAGCTGTAGATAGCAGCTAAAACAGAATGTTGACATGAGCGAAATTTCTGGGTAAATTAGAAAGCCTGCGAACTTTGATAAGGTAAGGTTAATAGTATCATATAGAAGAATTTGTTCTTAATCAAGCTTGGATCTCATACAGTTCTGAAATTCCTTTTCCTTACTAAATATTTGAGGCACTTGGTGCAATCTTGGGCTAAGTGTGAGAACATGGGTTTGATTTGGACAGCCAATTTGCACAAAAAAAAAAGGCTAGGTCCATGTAGGGATGCAAACGGATCAGATCGGATTTGAATCAGGGTATATTCGAATCTGATCCGACACTGTTCATGTCATATGACTTGATTTGAATTCGAATCCTATCGATAAGTCAGATCTTCGGATCTGATCCCATTCGACTTGTATCCTTTAAAAATTAATAAATTATTAAAGAAAAATAAAATATACTAATCTAAATAAAGTAAAAACAAAAAATACAATTTTTTTAATTATTTTTATCATATATATACATGATTTTTATAAAAAAATAAATAATATAACAAGTTTATAAAAATTATATTTATAAAAAATAAATAACATATATATGTATTATATATATTTATAAATATATAATATATATCAGATCAAATCTTTGGATCGGATAGGGGTGATTCGAATCCAATCCAATTTCTGATCGGATCCTATTATCTGATCAAGGGTGATCCAAATTCGACCAAATAGGATCAGATCGGATCATGATTCGATCCATTTGCACCCCCTAGGTCCATATCCATTATCCAGTCCACCCCTCACAAGACCCTGGATGGCCAGGACCAAACATTGCATAATGACCTTTTACCAAATATTTGTTTTCCAAGAAACATATGTTAGAGCTGATATACCCTTTGTAGTATTATCCTGCCCAGAATAAAGCTTTTTGGCATGTTCTCATATGTCCTTAGTTGTATCTAAGAACATAAAGTTGGCACTTATTTTGGGTTCCATACTATTCCGTAACCATGTCATGATTTGGGCATCTTCCTGTTCCCAGTCATCAAACCCTGGAGAGTCAGTTGATGGTTTATCTTCCTTCACATGTTTCACTTTCCTCTTTGCCTTGAGGAAAACTTCCACTGACTTGGCCCATGGCACATAATTCTCACCATTAAGTTTAATGGAGGTCATCTGCACACCCAAATAATCGGAGGGGATCATGACACTCGATTTCTAATCACTAAAACCACCCCCCATTGCTGCCATTATGTCTCCCCCACTGCTATCTCTAATGCTGAACTCTCAGTCACCAACCAAATACTACAGCAGCCAAGGCAACACTACAGCAGTCTCTAAACTCAGGTGATAGGTTCACAACAAGTCACAATCAGTCACCACTGTGCACAAACTACCATTCAGATTAAGAACAAAAGGTAAACCAACATTCAGACAACACCAACAAGGCAGAAAATTGATGTAGGCAATTCGGCCATTCCTTTCAGCCCAAAAAAAAAACAACTTTTGTTCTTGATCACACCACTACTAATTACACAGAGCCATAAATCACCACTACAGTAATTCAGCAATTTACTAACCACATACAAGCCCTCTTGAGGCTGCTCAATAAAGGGTGAGCATCAAAAGCATCACCACACAACCATCTCTGTCCCACATGGTACAGGTCTGTCTAACCCTTTTTTTTTAAAGGTCACTACCAGTCCAAAGACATCAACTACAACCACTACAGTAACCCTTACACCATTCAGTCACTGTAAACACAGCCTGTTCTTGGGCCTTTTTCCAAGAACCAAGGCTACAAATAACCTAGTTCTTTAAGTTCTGATCAGTCTGAGCAGATTTTTGAAGGTTTTCCAACCCAGAAACACCAACAACACAAAAAAAATGATAACCAACCTTGATGGAGAGCTTCAGTCGACCATCCACTTATTTCTAGAGTTATTCTCTTAAAAGGCAATCAAGTTCTGAGCAGAGAAAGAGAGGCCGAAGTGTTCTCAGACCTAGGTCAAGTCTGTGTTCTCCATTTGCAGTCCAAAGAGAAGAAAAAGAAGTCACGAACAGAAAGGAGCAGCAGTCACGAGCAGAGATTTAAAGAGCAACGTCCTGCTCTGATACCATGTTATCTCAGTG